TGCTTTTAATATAAAATGTAAATCAGGAAAAATTGTATATTTGTATGTTAATCAAAGAAATTTTGTTTTTAGATAATATTATCGATAACATCTGTCTATTTTATATCTAAAATGCTCACTTTTTAAATTTTCATATGAACGGAATATAACTGCAACATTATAACTGCGAAAATTATCCAGTAGTTGAGTTTCCACAACCTTTCCGTTGTTTAATCGGAAAAACCAGTTGATTTTCAACGGAAATATCCCTTTATTTACGGGAAATTTACGGCAGCTGCTGATGACAAAACCTCCCGTTATTTAACGGAAAAAACCCATTATATTTAAACAGAAAAATCCCTTTATTTACGGAAAAGTTCCGGCAGCTGCCGATGACAAAACCTCCCGTTATTTAACGGAAAAAATCCATTATATTTAAACGGAAATATCCCTTTATTTACGGAAACTTCCGTTTACATGCGATGGGTTTTTCCGTAAAATAACGGGAGGTTTTGTCATCGGCAGCTGCCGGAACTTTTCCGTAAAAAACGCGATATTTTTTTAACAGTGTACGTGTTCTTTAGTTGCAGCCCAACAAGATGGAAAATTCTTCACGAAGAGACTGCTTTATCACTTCACAATCTCTCAGATACTAGATGGTCAGCCCACATAACAGCTGTAAAACCTTTAGTGAAAAAACCTCGAGAAATCATAGCTGCTCTGGGTAGAACCGTTAATCAACTTGACCTAACTGCGGACATGTTGAATCAAACGAAATCGTTGGGCAAATATTTTAAGTCATTTGAATCAGTAGTTCTTCTGACCATTTGGTATAAGACACTGCAAAATATTGATAATGTTAGTCGATGTCTCCAGTCGGAGTCAATCACCATTGAAGAATAAGTCATCCTCATTCAACTACTTCTCGATGACCTAGATCGCATTCGTTCGTCGTGGAATTGTATTTTGACTGAAGCAAAGCTAGTGGCTGGAAACCTAGGCTTTGAAACAGAATTTAAAGTAAAGCACACAAGAAGAGTGAAAAAATTTCACGAGGAACCATCAAATACAGCCCACTACCAAAGAATTTTGAAGTAAATATTTTCAACGTGGCATTGGACCACATAATTTTACAAATTCAGTCAAGGTTCAATGTGTTGAAAAAGGTTTCTTCTCAGTTTTCCTTTATCTGGCTTCAGTCTGAAGACTCTTCTTCACAAGATGACAAAGCTCGTCAACTTGCGAAATTCTCTATTCAAATGACGTTAAAGAAGACGATCTTATTGAGGAAATTTGCCACTTTGACCGGTTGAAAGCATCGTCCTTGTTCAGTAAAGGCAACTCTCTCAATCTTTTAAATCAAATATATTCCAAAGGCTTACAACCAATTTTCCCGTCGATATGCATACTTTTGTGCATCTTCCACACAATGCCAGTATCCGTTGCAGAGGGTGAAAGATCTTTTAGTAAACTGAAGATTATAAAAAACCAGTTCAGAGCCACCATGGGACAAGAGCGACTTTCAAATCTTATGGCGTTGTCTATTGAAAATGATCTCGCGAAATCATTGTCATATGATGAAGTAATTTCTAATTTTGCCTCGAAAAAAGCTCGAAAATTTTATTTAAATTAGGAATTGTTTATGATGTGGTTAGTTAGCAAAAAATGAAATAAAAAATAAGTTAAAGTAGCTATAAAGGCATACCGTATTGTTTTCCTTCTATGCCAAGTATATGTATATATTTATATATATATATATATATATATATATATATATATATATATATATATATATATATATATATATATATATATATATATATATATATATATATATATATATATATATATATATATATATATATATATATATATATATATATATATATATATATATATATATATGAGCCGTGGCGCAGTGGTTAGAGCATTGGACCCGTGACTTATGGGGTGCGGGTTCGAGCCCAGCTCGAAGCACGTAAACGCTATCGGTGAATCTGGAAACGGGGAGCCAACTTAATAAATGCTGTTCTCCTTGTGGTGGTGCTCTGTGACAAGACCATTAGGACTTCTTAGAGCACCTTATTAACTGAAAAAAAAAAAGAAAAAAAGCGAAATCCATAAGGGCGCCAAAAAAGTTGTTGTCCCGGGCGGCTTGAAGGCTCTCAGCGGCCCTGGACAGGAGGGTCTATACTATGAAAGTATTGACAAACCTGAAATGATAAATCTAAAGAAAAGTCTAATAATATTTAAATGTAAATTCCGATCAAACTTACGGACATATTCAAGAACCTTCTCTAGACTTTTAGAACACGAGCAAACTTGGTTGAACAAAGATGTAGCGGTTGACAAAATAACTTTGCAGCAGATCCAGGTTGAAAGAGCATTTAAGTGATAGAAGTAGAAGATCTAAACTAATATTAAATTCAACCCAGTTTAAAAAAATAGTTTACAAGCTTAAATATTAAGTATTATCTTGTTCAAGGTTGCCAAAGTTGCTAAACATCAAGTTCGGGATCATTTTAATGTTGTTAATCTTAATATTAGAAGCTTGAAAAAAAAAAACTTTGACAACTTATGTAACATTGTAAAAAAAACATCAAATATTTTTACCATAATATGCTTAACTGAAACTTGGTGTGACTCTGATGACCCCAAATCTTACTTAAATCTCCACCTGGAAGGCTTTAAAATGATCCCGCTAGCACGAAAATCAAAAAAAAAGGCGGTGGTGTACTTTTTTATATAAAAGAAAACTTGCAGTGTATTATTAGGCCTGACATGAGTAGCTCTGATGACAATAGCGAAGTCTTAACAATAGAGATTAAAACCAGTAACATAAAAAATATACTTTTGAGTTGCTGTTATCGCCCGCCAACTGGCATAATAGAAAATTTCAATACATTCTTATTTAATAATACTTTGTGAAAAGGTTTAATGGAAAAAATCTTAACTATTTAATTGGAGACATAAATCTAAATTGTTTTGAATATTAAACTAATAACAGCATAAAAACATTTTATGACGGTTTATTTCATAACGGCGCAATTCCATTAATAAACAGACCAACTAGAGTAACAGAAACACCAGCTTTCATAATTGATGACACAATAACAACTGATATCTTTAACAATTCGCTTAAAATAGGTATAATAAAAAATGACGTTTCTGATCATTTCCCTATTTTCTATTCTCTAAATCTTGTTACCGAAATAATACAACAAAAAAACAAATTTTCATCTAACGCTATTTCAATGAATAAAATATCGAATCATTTAACTATCTACATTAGAAGCAAAGTCTATAACACATGCTACGAAACATTTTATGATATCTAAGACGCAAATTTCCCGAAAATCAAAATAATTAAATCAAATAAAAGCCTTAAATCACTGTGGATCAGTAAAAACATCAGATAGTCCTCAAAAATTAGGCAAAAACTTTATATAAAATACATAAAAACAATTGAAAACTAAACAATATACAAAAATTATGCTAAACAATTTGAAAATAATAAAAAAAATGCAAAAAAAAAAAAAACTATTTCAATTTGCTAGAGAAACATTAACTCAATTCAAAACGCGGTCCAACAACCATTTGATACGCATTTGGTACCATTCTAAATACCTCTCTTTTATCCATTAGATGTGATGAGTAGTTTTTGAGATATTTTAGTTGCCCAAATTAACCCTATGCTCAACTAGCCCCGCTCTACCCTACTTTATCTGAGCATCTTAGAAGTGTATTTAAGCATCCATATTTTTCAAAAAAGTTTGCCAGGTTGTGAGAAAATAGATATATCTACAAACGAATATAATTTTAAAAGCTAGCACTACATTCCTTCGATAGGAATTTAATCAATGAACAACATAGTTTTTGACACCAATAAACTTAATATAAACGTTAGTAACTTCAAAAAATGAAAACACATATAAAATAAAACTATTCATCTTTATAAAAAGTATCTAGGATGATACAACATTCTGAAAAATTATAACACAAAAAACGTGTTTAGCGCACTCACTCTTAACGTACATCAAAAAACGTGGAACAGTTTTTTACCACAAAAGTTTCCGCGTACCTATATATAATTATTTATTTATATATATATATATCTATATATATATATATATCTATATATCTATATATATATATCTATATATCTATATATATATATCTATATATATATATATATCTATATATATATCTATATATATATCTATATATATATATATAAATATATATATATATATATCTATATATATCTATATATATCTATATATATCTATATATATCTATGTATATCTATATATATCTATATCTATATCTATATCTATATCTATATATATATATATATATATATATATATATATATATATATATATATATATATATATATATATATATATATATATATATATATATATATATTTATATATATATATAAATAGGCCTCGGCAGGAGTAAAAACTGCACGGGCTATGAAAAGCCCGTCTTAAATAGACTTGGCGGGCTTTTTAATATTTAAAAATTTATGTTTAATAAAAACTTTATTAAACATATAATGTTTTAAATATTAAAATTAACTTTTATATTTTAAAACATGTATATTTATAAAATAATATATTAAATGTTTCTTTTATTATTTATCAATTATTATTTATATTTTAATTAAGATATTAAACGTTTTTCAGTGTTAAAAATTTTTTTAATTTGTTCAGGTTATTAAATTTTTTTGACGGTAGTTGATCGACACTATCTTGATACTCGAACAACGAATCCATTCATAAATCTCTTTAATGAAATTGATGTCGTCGTGAAAGAAGTTTTTATTCCGTGGATTAATCTTTGTGAAGTATTATAATACTTCACAAAGATTAATCCACGGAAGAAAAATTTCTTTAAAACCTTTTTTCGTTATTAAAAAACGTGAGATGGATTTCCACAACGTTTCGATCTTATCTTTCGGTTTCCATCTTTCGAATTTAATTGGACACCAAAAAAAAAAGATACGACGAACATTTGTTGAACATTGAACTAAAAGATTCTTTTCTTCATCACTTAAAATATTTTAACAACGATAACTTATGTAATATATAACCACGATAACTTGCCTCCAGATTTTATATAATAATTTAGAAAATAATTTTCACAAGAAGTTTCGTAAGAAGTTTTTCCATCATAAATCGAAATCTTCTACTCTCGTCCATCGACGATTAATTTTATTTCATCAGTAAATGATGATGTCTTTCATAAAAACATTATAAGTTTCAAGTTATGATTAAAGTCGATCATCGTTTTCATCATTACTTTGACGAGATAATTTAAGTAGACGACCTAAAGAAAAAAAATAAATATTATTTAAGTTATATAATAATTATATTAGTTAATATTCGATTTCACTGTGACGAGATAATTTAAGAAGATTATCTAAAAAAAAAATAAATACATATATAAATAAACAAATAAATAACAATCGAAATTATAAAACATAATATATATATATATATATATATATATATATATATATATATATATATATATATATATATATATATATAATAAAGAAATCTAGATATTAATACATATATATTTATAATTAAGTTATAATTGAATAAAAAGTTATATACAATATATTATTAGTATTATTAAATACATTATGATTTATGTATATATACATGTTTAAATATTAAATTAGTAGCGCAATTCTTTATTAAAAATTATAAAAAAATATTTTTAATTTTATTAATTTTATCATAAATGTCACATACTAGAAATAATATAAAACAAATTAATCAATTATATAAATTAAAAAAACTTCGTTATATTTATAATGTTATTGCAAATAAATTTAAAAATTAATTTATATTCAACCACATAATGTAATAAGACACCAAGAAAACGTATGTTATTTAAACACAGATTCGAATTGAAATGAGTGTTTTTATAAATCGAATTTGCAATTTTAAAGTCAGAACTTCGAAAATCTCCTTCGACAATGTATATATGAATAATATATATTAATATATATATATATGAATAAATTACACAAAACTCAAAGAGTGAGAGTTTGAATATTTGTTTATTCGAATTTGTTGGAAACTTTGATTTGATTTACAAAAAAAAGGCATTAAAAAAAATAAAAAGCAATTTAAATATTTTATAATATTCGATAACATTATAACAAAAAAATTTTATATACCATTGATACAGTCACAATAATAAATATTTTTATCGTTAAAGAATACCTACAAAGTTACGGTTACCAGGTATCCGATTTTTACTTAGAAGAGCACAGTACCAAACCAATTTTTTGTTTTTTCTTTAAGAAGCTTAAAGAGGCCCTGACTGAAATCAAGATTTTCACTATGCTACCCTCCATACAAACAGGACATCTGGTAACACTAGACCTAGCTACAAAAACATATAAATGATTTTAGAAAGAAAAAATCAACAAACATAGATAAGATAAAGTAAATAGAACAAAGGAAGTGTGATCGACAAAATCTAAATATGAAATTGAAGGCAAATTTCTGATTTGAGTTCTGATTCATTTATAATCCTGATTTTAAGACTAGTAACTATCAAAAAAAAAATGTAACTATACACTAACTTCAGATATTCCAATAGATGTGTATGTCGAGAACGTTGCTCTTATGGCTATATAAGTGATGTTTCACAAAATATTTTGCTGCAAGTGACAAATGCCATGTTAACTAAAAAATATAATTCAAATGAAAATATGGTCAACTTTAGCAAAAGAGGATATAAAAAATGCAATAGAAACTTTTTCTTATTCATGTGTTATACATTTTAAAGGAAAAACTCTTTAAAAAATTAATGCTGAAAAAATGTTCAAGATTGACAGTGTGGCAGTTCTTGTGAACATTGAACACCTAGTAGACGCGCTCAGTAGGTGTTCCTTCTCTAACATCCCCTTTTGGTGAGGATTATTACATAAGTGTTATAAACCTACTAAAGGAATGTAAACTTGAATCAAAAGTAGAAGGTCTTTGTTGTGATACAAAAAAAAGACCAGAAAACCCATTGATTCAAAAATTTAAGAGCCTATTCGAACAACCTAATTTTAGTTACGCTCCAAGTGATCTGTGCAAGTTTGATTGGAAAGAGGTTGGTGGTAGTATAAGAGAAAAGGCTGCTGAAGTTTCTATAAACTTTATAGTAGGAGAATATAAACAAGAAGGAAGAGGAGAGCTGGCTGAATTAGTTGCGACTTATCTAATACCTTATGTTTATAAAATCAGGAAAACTATAGCTATCCATTATGCCTGTTTTCTTGCTAAAGTACTTTGCTATCTGAAAATGCAGCTTTTTTATTCTCAACTAGACTAATTGAAAAAATAATGATCTCAACAAAAAACAAGCTTATCGTAGAGTTTGTGGTCTGCTTTTAAGCGAAGTTTTATTTAGAATCCAGTAATTTATCAAAGGCCTCAAACTTAGATGTATAAGCTATCCGTCAGATGCACCAAATATTTGTTTAAATCCAGAAGCAGGTGACGCTGTGCTTGATTTGCTTTACAAGCACATTTGGTACTTTGACTCAATTATGATTCCATTAGCTCTATTGCATAAGGATTTACTTTCAAAGGCTTTAAAAATGAAATCAAAGAAAAGAAAGACATCAGAAAAGAGATAGAAAAAAACGCTAGTACTGAGAAAGATCCTCTAAGCTTAGCCCTTTTGGTAAATGAGTTTTCTTACCTTTATTAAGTTTTAGTGGTTTAACAGAAGAAAAAATAAAAGATTGGTTTTCACTTCAACCACAATACTAGCATACACAGTCTTCATTTAAAATTTTTGAAATGTATGCCAATAGTCTTATTGTTGTCAATGACCATTCGGAAAGAGCCTTGACATGATGCAGCAATATATTCATCATTACCATAACAAAGAGAAAAAACAGAACAGATTGATATCAGTTTACAAAGTTCCCTGTGCTTTCAAGATTTCTGTGAAAAGCTCTCCAAGTCTTACTAAAGTAAGAGTCATTCCAAAGAAACAAAACACAAACAAACAAAAGATTAATTAGATTTTTTTTTTTTTTTTTTAATTCATTTCCTTAAGGCCGAGAAGGCCACTACAGACGAGGAGGCTACTTATTTGTGGTTATAACCCTCTCTTAACTCTATAACTCCGAAACACGAACCTTGACGAACAAGGCTGCTGCGCGGAGAAACGAGTTGAGCGCGGTACTACCAGGACGTGATGGGGATTGAACTCGGAACCACTCGTTTATGAAGTGAGCGCTCTACCACTACACCACTACCGCATTTTATATAGATAAACTATAAATAAAACTTCTACAAAGTCTTTTTATATGTTGAAAATATATATATTTTTTTTACTTGATAAGTAAAATTGAATCGTTATATGTAAAAACAACATGTTACAAAATCTACATTTAAAAAAACCTTTTTATTTCTTTATTGTTAATGATTTGTTTTTATAGTCCACTTGAAAACTGCGTTAATATTTAATAGTACTTTGACAAATTTTAGATTTTTTTCAGAATATCATTGCACAAATTTTTTTCAGAATATCATTTTTCCCAATAAAATCTCATAATTTTGTAAAAAAGTATAAAAAAAGTAAAAAAAAAAGTGATTTTTTATTGCTAGGCCATTTATTGTGAGTTGATTTTTTTGAAAAATTAAGTGCGATTTGATGCCATTTTTTATTGCTTTTCATTGTAAATTTGTAAAAAATTGGTTTTCTGCAAACCGCTAATGCTGTAGCGCTAGGGATAGCAATCCCGGGGTCCCAAAATCCTGGGATTTCGTACAAATTAATAATCCTGAAATCCTGGGATTAGTCTCCGAAATTTCACTGGATTTCAGGATCACCAAGAAAAGTGAAGTTAATAAAGTTTAAGCTTATAATTGCAATAAAGTAATTTGTACATCGTCTTTGGTATAGCAGCTGTTTGGTTGTGTAACTATTTATTCTCTTTGCAATGTTTTCCTTTCAAAACTCTCTGTCTTTATTAAAAATAAAAATCTTTATTAAAAATAAAAACTTCAAACATTTCAAAATATGTACGATCAAACGTATAAAATATGTTATATTATATAATACTAAATATACATATGCATATATATACATATATATATATATATATATATATATATATATATATATATATATATATATTATATATATATATATATATATATATATATATATATATAGCAGGCCTCGGCGGGAAGAAATGAGTGCATGAGCAGTGAAAAGCTCTCCTAAAACAAACATGGTGAGCTATGCGAGCTGCTTCACTTAATTCTTTAGACGAGCATTGTTTTTACTGCTTATAAAAAAAGTTTTGAATTTTATTGTAAAAGAAAGCAGGCATTTTAAAAATTGTTTAAGACAATTATTAAAATGACTGAGTTTTTTATTTTAGTTTCAATGAGAATTAAATTTTTGTGAGAAATAATTATACTTTTTTTCAACAGCTGTAAATTGCTCCCGTAAACCGTTGCAGGGAAGTGTGGACGAGAGCGAAAGCTAAAGCTCTTGCTTCCTGCTGAGGCCTGATATAGTATAATAATAATACTAGTATATTACAAAAACCAAATATAATTGAAGAGCTTGCTAATGGAAAAAACAAGAGTTTTTAATAGAAGTATAGCCTAATTTAATTTTGAATTTTCTGCTTCCATAAGTGTGTGCGATTTTAATTTCATTATTATATCCATTCATTTTTATTCCAAACGTGTGCATGATTCAAATTCCATTTTTATTTCCATTAATTTTAATTTCAAATATGTGCGTGATTGCGAAAGATTTTTTAACGTCAATTTAATTAATAAAGTTATCAAAAAACAGGTTTATTAAATTACAAAATTTTCTTAGTGTCTAATTAATGAAGTTTTGCATATTTATATTATTGTTTAATTATTATTTTTTTATTTCTACTGTGTTACTATTTTGAGATATTGCTTTATAATTTATAGTACTTAGGTTTATTAATTTTTAAGTCTTAGATATGTTTTAATATAAACAAAATTAAGTTAAAACATGTTTTTAATTTAATTTTAGTTCATTAATGTATTGAATATTTTAGTTATACTATTATTAAATAATTCATTTTTAAGTGTTTGATTAGTACTTAAAAAGTGTTAAATTGCATTTTTTTCTATTCAATCCCGGGATTTAACGGGGACAAATTTCTCAATCCTGAAATCCCATGATTAAAAATTTCCAGGATTTTTGTCATCCCTATGTAGCACTAGTGCTTAGCTATGATGTATAATGAAAATCACCATATAATTATGTTAATGAAGTATTATTTTAAATTATTTGTACATCCATTA